AGGCTTGCACCTGGCACGGGCACCGTAGCCAGCCCGTGCCCCTTTAAGGGCTCCGGGGCCGGGAGGGGGGCAGAAGAGTTTCCCTGGTGATGCTCAGAGTGGCCACCAGGGCAAGCTGGGGAGGGCTAACCTCCCACTAGTTCGAATTAAGTGGCTACACAGCCCTTAATTCGAACTACTTAATTTGAACTAGGCGTTAGTCCTCGTGGAATGAAGTTTACCTAGTTCAAATTAAGCGCTCCGCTAGTTCGAATTACGTTTGAACTAGCGGTTTGCATGTGTAGCGCCTAGCAAAGTTAATTCGAACTAACATCTGTTAGTTCGAATTAACTTTGTAGCGTAGACATACCCTTACAGTCCCAATGAAAGTTATTTAAGATACAAAGAGGACACTAAGGGGGGATATGACAGAGGTCTATACAATCATAACTGAGATGGAAAAAGTGAATAAGAAAAAGTTATTGACTTGTTTCCATCACAGAAGAACTAGAGGTCACCAAATGAAATTATTGGGTAGCAGGTTTAAAACCAACAAAAGGAAGTTTTTTTTCATGCAGCTCATTGTCAACCTGTGGAACTACATGCCAGAGGATGTGGTGAAGCCTAGGACTTTAAGAGGGTGATAGATTAACAGTAGGTAAAGCAAAGCAGTGCAGTTAAAAAGAGACAATCTAGTTTAGAACAGAGAAATAGCAGTGTAGTTATAATACGATGAGAACATTATTATGAGGCAGTTTCTGCAAAGCGCAACATTGGATGGGACATGGGGAAAGTTCTGATTTTCTGAACATGATCGGCCCATGGGTACGCCTGGCTCATGGTTGTATCTGAAGCGATGAATATGGACGACGTGTCTGTATGTGCAATGTAGTTACATCTGGGTAGCTCTCACAAGGCAAGATTCTTTCATTTGAGATAGGTGGTTAGGAACGGCCAATTCCTATTAATGAGACATTAGGCGAATCAATAGGCCTGAGGAGAAGTTTGTCTCCCACCTGGATCGGCCGTCGAAGACAGGCCAGAGAGTCTGTCAATAATGGTTTCTGTGACTCTCTCAGGGCAGGGGACCAGGCTGAATGGTGCCAGACTCCATCTTGGGACAGCTGGATTTTTCCACACATTGATCTGGAAATCCAGTTTGAAAGCAAAGGGATCCCCCCTCCCCATCCTCACCCTACATAAGGCTGGGAGTGATCTACAAGTTGATTTTTGTTCCCGTCACAAGGGGACTCTGGGAAACAGCAGAGAAACATAGATGGAGCTGGGTGTGGTTCTTGACCAAATAAAATTGGTCCATCGGTCATATGAGGGAATGTACAGGCCAAAGGACAGAGGGGACATGAGTGTGTGAAGAGCAAAGTCAGATGGCAGGTGTTTAGCCCAACGGGTCTCCTTCAGGCCACACCTTGTGCTTTCCTGGGTTAAGGGATAAACATTGTTCCCAGAAGGGACAAACAAAACAAAGAGTGGGGAAAGAGAGTAAGGTGAGGGGCTGAAACACAAGCTCATGCATGGCAGGCCTGATGTGAGGCCAGAGGCTTATATAGGAATGGTGCAAAGAATAAGCCATAAACATATTCCAGATGAGAAACTCTAGGTTGGATATTAGGAAAAACTATTTCCCTAGGCAGGTGGTGAAGCACTGAGATGGGTTCCCGATGGAGAGGGGGTGGAATCTCCATCCCTAGAGCTGTTTAAGACCTCACTGGACAAAGCCCTGGCTGGGGTGATTGAGTTGGGGTTGGTCCTACTTTGGGCAGGGGGCTGGACTCCTTGACTCCTGAGGTCTCCGCCAGCCCTGGGATTCTTTAATTATGTCAGGAAGGACGTGTCTGTGTATAAATATGTACCCAAGGGAGCTGCCGTTGTCCGGCCGAGGGGGCAGTGACAGATCCCATGCTCAAAAGAGCAAGTGACCATTCCAGGCACACTCACTAGAGACTCACGATGACCAGAGCACTTGATTCCATGCAGAGCTCCCCAGTCTGAAAGCAGGGCTTTCTAAAACCTTACACTGGGTGTGCGAGTGTGTCATTGTCCCACAGTTTTCCACACATGGTTGTCCAGATGAGGATGGATTCCTTTGCGACAACAGTTTGGGCCTCTGGGGTGGCTGATCTGGGAAGAGAAAGGAACAGTCGGGCTCCTCAGACTTGTGTCTGAAACACAGGACACCAAACTCTTGGTAGAAAGGACCTGAAGTGTGTCCTGCTTGCTGCACCTTGGCAGAAGACAACAATTAGAGCTCAGTGAGCCACTAACTGGTCACGTCTCCGGCCGTCCTGGGAAAGCAAAACTGGACCACAAGGCTGGGCCATCGTTCTCACTCGCTGTGCTCTGTCCAATCACCGCTCACTCTCATTTACCACAGAACAGTCACTGGGCCAGAAAGCAAGTCCAAGTGCAGGGGGAACAAAGCCCCACAGCTGAGGCAGACACAGCCAATGGGGGCCCAGCAGGGGCTGTATAAATAAGGCTCTGGGGGGAAGGAGACACACACTCTTGCTCTGGTCGGAGAGCAGGAAGGACCTAGCTGGTGGGGTGACCCCACTCTCAGGCTGCAGGGTCCGAGACAAGGCCTGAGGTTACCAGGGCTGCAGGGAGACAGCCAGGGCAGGCGAAGGCATCAGGTCCTGAGTGGCTCTCTTAGGCTGCCGGTGGCCTCTGAGGCAGGGACCAGATGACGAAAGACCATGGGTCACTAAGGCAAGGTGGGCATGGAAGTTTGGGGGTTTCCTGAAGGGGAGGAACCCAGAGTGAGGGGGGTGCTGTGGTGGGACAGTACCCAGAGGTGCAGAAAATAGGTCACCATGGGTTGGAGACTGGCCAAAAAGGGACGCTCCAGGGCTGAAGAAGCAAATTACTAGGTGAGCAGCAGGAGGCGTCATGGTGCCCATTTACATGTCACGACCAGGAGATTTAGGACGAGTAACCACAGAGTGAACTTGGGAGGTTAAAGATTTGAAACATAAAAGCTCAGAATGTAGCAGAAAGAAAGAAAGTCGTATTTTAAAATGGGCCATGGGTAAGGCCATACATCAATGCATCTCAATTTTACTATATACCAAAAATGTGACCTTTCACAATCCAGGCCTTTATCTGAGAGCAGCCAGTTTCTGAAGAGCTTTTCTCAGGGCCTGATGGACCTCCTTGTTTCTCAGGCAGTAAAGGACAGGGTTGAGCACGGGGATCAGGACTGCGAACCAGACAGACATTATCTTGTACACAATAGCAGGAGGGCTGAAATTTGTAACAATATAGACTGTCATTACACTCACATAGTAAAGTGTCACCACAATGAGGTGGGAGGAGCAGGTGGAAAAGGCCTTTTGCCTGCCGGTGCCGGAAGGGATTCTCAGGATGCTGGCGATGATGCAAATGTAGGACATCAAAGTCAGCAGAAAGACCCCAATAGTTAATATGACAGAGAAATAAAAAGTCTGCAGTTGCAAAATATTGGTGTCAGCACAGAACGGATCTTTAACAGGTGCAAAATCACAAAAGAAATGGTCAATGTCTTTGGGACCACAATATACTAATTGCAGCATGAAAACGTGCAGCATGATGCAGTAGGAAATGCTGTATATCCAGGCCCAGGCCACCATGTGGCAACAGACTCTCCCGGTCATCAAAGTGGTGTAGCGGAGGGGATGGCAGATCGCTAGATACCGATCGTAGCACATGGCCGTGAGCAGCAGCCATTCTGCATTGGAGAGGATAATATAGAAATAGAATTGCACGTAGCAGTTGTGCAGAGAAATGGTTCTGTCCCCAGTCGCCAGACTGGCCAGCAGCCTGGGCAGGGTGGTGGAGACGTAGCAGATCTCTACAGCGGACAAGTTGGCCACAAAATAGTACATGGGAGTGTGAAGGTGCCGATCAGCCACCACTAGCACAATGATGAGGAGGTTCCCAGACAGAGCTACAAGGTAGATCACCAGAAACAGCAGGAAGAGGAGGGGCTGCAGTTCAGGGTCGTTCCCAAACCCTATAAGAATCAATTCAACGATGGGTGTTTCATTCCGTCCTTCTGCTGACTCCATATTTTGTATCTATAAACAGAAAGACATGAAATATTCACAGTGCAAGACAGACAGCTGGTGCTGTTGGCCACACTCCCGCAAAGTTGAGGGGAGAAGTTTAGTGCCTCTGCATCTCACCACTTGAAAAAGGAAGTTGTCCATTAGCAGAGAAAGACTCGTTCCATTAAGTTGTCAAGCTTCCAAAATAAGGGAGCCATGAGCACTGGATCTTAATAAATGACAGAAACGTAATTACCTTGACAGAAACTGCCTTGAACTCTCGTGATCTTTAAATAAATACATTGAGGCTGGGATTTGGAAATATCTTCATCATGTCAGTGTCCTATTGGCCAATCTAGAGGACATAACAAAAGTCAATCCATTGGCAATGGAGGATATTTAAAGTTCAAACAAGGAGAACGCCTATCCTGCACTTGGGAAGTGTCATTCCCAGCCAGGGCAACATGCACGAGCTTTGATCTAGCTAGCAGCATCAAATCACAATGAGAACACGGCAGCAGAGGCAGTGGTGTGGGATACACACCTGTGTATGTCCCTTGAATCTCAGATGGGATTGGGTCAGGGTAGCTCATCTACGCTGCCGAGGCTACAAAGCTATTTTGAGCACAAGCGCACAAAGTTTTTGTGTGCAGCTCTAGCGGAGAAGGGAATTGCACCTTCAAAGTTGAGCACAGATACACCTCATAAGACGAAAACCAAAATGCCAAAAAGCCTACAATTTGTATGAGGGTCTTTCCAGCTATCCCCTCTCCCAGCAGAGTCAAAGAAAAAACACGGCACCGTTTGAGAGCATGTAAACAGGCCTAAGATTCCCCAGGGTAAATAATATCAGGCAGAACTGAGATACAAATCCAATCCTGTGTGAAGAAAATGAACCTGAGAACTCATCGAAAGAGAAATAAGATGGTTTTTAGGTTTTTTAAAAAAAAACCACAAGCGAGAGCATGAAACAGTGGAGAAGAAAGAAGAGCTGTGTAGACAGAAAGAGCAAAATTGAGAGTGAGACACAGGGCCTACGTCTACACTGCACAACTATTTTGGGATACCAGAGGTGTCCCAAAATAGCTACCCCACATGTACTCAAGCCGCCTGTTCTTTTGAATTTTTTTCAAAATAACGGGCACACTCTTTAGCCATTCCAGGAAATCTTATTGCACGAGGGATAAGGGATGACTAGAAACAGAGTGCTATTTCAATATTTAGCGCTGTAGATGTGCCAAATTTGAAAAGAAGCTATTTCGAAAGAGATTTGAAATAAGATACACAATTTGCGTAGTGAAAGTTGCGTCTCATTTCGAATGTAGGGTGCTGTGTGGATGCACCCAGAGAGGTTTTATTTTTCCCAATGTGATGGACATTAAACACCAGATCCGTTTAAACAGGAGTAGGAGTTCTCAGCTATGAAAGCAAAAGTCTCAGAGCCAATACATCTGAAATCCTTCTTTTTTCCCCCTACACAGTGCTTGATATGGTGTTATCACTGACTTACATTCAGGCTACTGAAAGGCTGTCCGCACCAAATGTCTGATAAAGTGGGTTGTGCCCACTGAATGGGGGATGGACGACATGGGAAGGGTCACTTGTTCATTACCTGATCCATTCATTCTCTCTCAAGCTCCTAGACCTGCTGCAGTAAGTCCTGCATTGAACACAGGATAAGACTGCATGATCTCCTCTCGCCTCTTCCACACTTAAACATCTAAGGTGCTATAGCTTTGGGAACTGGCATTTGCTGCTGTTGGAAGAGAGAACGTTGGGGAAGATGGACTTTCAGACTGGCCCAGTGTGTTCTGAATCTGGGAGCCTTTCGTTGCTCTTTCTTAGGCACGTTTTCTTGTAACCCATTTGTGATCGGTTCCCCTGTGCTGTTGGAACTGGGGTTTCACTGAGCCCTCTCACCCACCAATCTGGGATCACTTGAGCACGGAGCAACTCTGGCAAGCAACAGACTTGCTCCTGGTCCTACACTTTCTCCAACATCCACAAAGATTTGGATACACCTGGCCATAGGTACACACCAGCTCTATGATGAGCCGCTGGATAAAACAACAATAGGGAAACAACAGTAAGAATAACCACCAGCTCTACAGCCTGTCACACCAGAACTGTACCACTCTCGTCAGGTCAAAGCCCCCACCAGTGAGAATTTGGCATCCCGTTTGCTCTGTAAGCATGGAGAGGAACATGCTAACCAAGCTGGGATTTCATCCCATATACTAAATATGAGGGTGCGCCAGTTTAGCTAAAACTGCAGAGAAGTTTATTAATGACAAAGGATCAGAGCAGATTGTGACAGCGCGTTGGGGGTTCCCCGTCTCCTGCACCCCGAAATGGCACAAACAGACTGCACCAGCCGGCGGAATTGAGGGTGGTTTATTGCTCCTCCAGCACAGCGCAGCACAGATGTAATCTGGTTACAGGAACTGGGGCTAAGAGGCCTCAGTGCCCCCCTTTGAGATAGGGGAGTCCCAGCCCCCTCCCCAGCTCCTTATTCCCTGCCTTCCAGACAGGAACTAACCAACCCTCTTCCAGCCCTGCCCCCCAGCCAGGGCAGCATCCACCTTCCTTTGTTCCTCTCCATGGGGGGTGTCTGGCCACTGGTTCAACAAGTTTGGCATTACCTCTGCCTAGTGAGGCTTTCCCTGCTGGGTCTTGCTCCAGACAGCAGGGGTCACCACATCCCAGCAAGTACCCCCACTACGTCACACAGATTACCAGGGAATATACAACAAAGAGAAACAAAGCAAAACAGGCTCCTCAGATTCAGTAGAAATGAACACAGTGAGAAGTAGGAACAAAGAGGTTCTCACCTTGCCTGCTGATAATCAGCTGCCTGGCAGATTCTCAAAGCAGAAGTTGCATATGCTTTGCTGCTTGGGTTTTTCAGGCTTCCATACGCCGGCTAGAAATCACTGTTACCCGGCTCCTGCAAAGTCGTCAGTTCAGTTTTCCTTCCTCCAATCCTTCTGTGTGTGGAGTGAAGAACTACTGTCCTCTCTCTCTGCCTTATGTAGCTTTAGAAAAAAGGTGGGGACCTTTTTTTGAACTACTACTCCCTAGAGCGGGCTGTGACAAAACACAGACACCCCAAGATGGAACCCAGAGTCATGTGGGCTGAGCACATGGCCCTGTAGAGTCATTTGTTAATCACAGGCTCCCCGGAGCATTCCCAAGAAGGCTCACCAAGAAGGATAAGCTTCTCCTGAGGTCTCATTGCCCTCAACAACCCTTCCCAAGAGTCTGCCTAGCATCCCGAGTGGGAGGTACCCAGGTGTAAGAACACTGGAAATACAGATACTAAGTCAATACTCATAATTACAGACACAAAGACACGGCATAAATACAATCAGGATTAAGCAAATAATGGCATTCCAATAACACCTTACATGACCTTCCTTGCACAAATGCTACATATTTGTGCTATAATCTTATCATCAGACTCCTTTGAGAAATAGGAATGAGGAGTAACAGTAGTTCGAATTAGGATTTTTAATTCAAACTATCTACTCCATGCCGCGTGTAGTTGCAGGCACGAAGTTTGGACTAAGGTGGATTTAAAAATGGTGGCGCCCGGGAACATGCAAATGAAGCCTGGGATATTTAAATCCCAGGCTTACTTTGCAACTATGCTTGCCCTCATTACCCTAGCTAGCTCGAACTAACAAGCTAGTGTATACGTACCCTAGGGGTTTAGTGTCACTGGCTCTACGTTCTTTCACTCCCTCCCTCGATTGACCAACTAATCTCATTCCTTCTGAGATGGTGGATGCCTTAGTAACCACTTTCCCTTTCCAAATCATGTATTTCACTTTACCCAGGCTGTGTTCACTTTCACACTCACAGTCCGTTGTCAGCTTCACCCTCAGCCGACCCTTTCTTCTCATTTCATACAATTAAACAACATAGGAGAAAGACGGTGTCTGCTGCCATTGGTAGCCTTCAATTATTTTTGCAAGCTGAGCTTTAGTTCCTGCCACCCGAACAGCACGTGTTGGTGTATCTCGTCCTTATTCCCTTCCCACAGAAATCAGTGTCTGCCCTGGTTGGCAATTCCTTCTTCATATGAAATGATGCAATCTCGCGTTGCTAATGGTGGGAATCAGAAATGGTTGTAGAGAGGAAAGTGAACATTTATTGTTTTAGAAACAAAAAGCCATGGTACAAGGCTGACGTATGACTAACCCCAAAGGGAAAGCATGGAAAACAATAGATGTCATAACTAACTGCTGTTAGTTCGAATTAACTTTGTAGTGTAGACATATACTAAGTCTCCTTTGACAACCACTGCCAGGAAGGACAATGTCTGTGGAGTCTAGGGATATTTCTCACCATTTGCTCTTTTCTAAAACCTAACATAATAGGCCCCTGGCATTCTGGGCATTCTGGAGACAGGAGAAGTGTTGACCAAAAACAAAGCAAAAAGGAAGAGCAACATCTCAGTCAAGGGAAAATAATTCTGGGAGAACTAATTGCAGTGGAATTCTCTGTAATTCTGACAGATTAGGTGAGATGGTGTCTTGCTACAACTAACCATACATACCTTCTAGAGATCCACAGTGCCCACAAACGCTGCTTAACTGACCTACATACCCACTTGCCACCAATTTGGTTGAAGATCAGCAATCACATGATAATGCAATAGATTCCCAGGTGTTTCCCAAATGTCTGAAATTGTGAATTTTTACAATAGTGTCAGCAGCTGGTTGAGAAAGAGTAAGAATTAACCAGGGAGGGTTAGGACCTCTGATCCATCCCTAGAACTCGTGAGGAGAGGAAACAGCCTTCCTCAGCATTTGCATGAGGAAGAGACAAATAACGGGGCTAATTTGCTCTTATTTTGGATATAAAAGAGTTCTGGAGCTCCACGCTCATGAAGGACCCTGCATCTGTCTCCCTGAATTAGATTACAGTGTTCCCATTAATCGGGCCTCACAAAGAGGCCAATGACAATTTTAGGGTCTAGGAGGTCCAGCCAGAATGCCCAGAATGCCAGGGGCCTATTATGTTAGGTTTTAGAAAAGAGCAAATGGTGAGAAATATCCCTAGACTCCACAGACATTGTCCTTCCTGGCAGTGGTTGTCAAAGGAGACTTAGTATATGTCTACACTACAAAGTTAATGCGAACTAACAGCAGTTAGTTCAAATTAACTTAAATAGCGGCTATACATGCAAACTGCTATTTCGAATTTAATTCAAAATAACGGAGTGCTTAATATGAACTTGGTAAACCTCATTCTACAAGGAGTAATGCCAATTTCGAATTAAGTAGTTCGAATTAAGTGCTGTGTAGCCCCTTAATTTGAAAAAGCTAGAGGTTAGCCCTTCCCAGGTTTTCCCTGGTGGCCACTCTGGGCCAAACCAGGAAAACTCCTTTCTTCTCCCCCAGCTTCTGGGCCCTTAAAGGGGTAGACTCTGACCAGATGGCACTTACCAGAGCCAGGGCTGCCAGCAGTCTCTGCCCCTGACCCAGTGGCCCCAGGATGAGGCAGGCAGCCAGTGACAGCCAGCCATCTCCTGCCCAGTCCCCCAGCACCCAGGAGCCAGCCAGGGGCCAGAGATGGTGCGTGCCCTCCTGGACTAGGCACAGAGAAGAGGTTCTCTCCCAGTCTGTGGTGTGGACTAATTGCTCACGGCTAATGTGTTAGACAGGGGAGCACACATACGCACACAGCTGAGAGATTATCATCATTGACGGAGCAGAAGACCTGCCAGGAACCCATAGGGAAACCAGACTGATGACAGGCTCGGCTTAACAGAGCCCTGGCTGGGATATTTCAATTCTCCGTTGCGGATGAACTTTTCATTTCAGTTTCAGTGTCTGACGCACCATGTTGGGAGATACTTGTAATCAGAATGACACATTTCGAGGCTGCCCAAATGAAACATTTTGATTGCCCCCAAAGGAATAATTTTTCAGAATTTTGTTTTGCGGTAAATCCCCACTTTTATTTTCTATTTCATTCTGGCTTGGAAACCGATGGAAAGTGCAGGATTTATCATGAAACAAAAGCTCTGATGCTTGCGCCTCTCTTGCACTTATAACTGCAAGTATCATGTAGATTCCCCCAACCTTCAATTCATTCCCTTTGGGCTATGACACCAGAATTGAGTCAATCCATCCGGTGGTGGAAGTAGAAGATTTGGAGGTTCACCAGTGGCACAGAGAGCCTGTCAAACTACCACTGATGCCTGGTGCTCCTGGTCCATCAATATCCAGGTTTAATTAGTGCCAGGACACACCACAAAGTTCATTTATTATCCTACCTTCTTCATTTTGCCACTGTAGCTACGCAAGGCAAATGTGGCCTACTAACTAGAGTGTTGGACTCCCACGCTGGAGTCCGGAGGACTGTTGTCAATTCAGCCACAGTCCTGCTGCATAGTGGTGGGCAAACCATTCCTTCCTTCCACCCCTCAGTTTTCCAACCTTTAAAATGGGGGTAGTGAAAGAGACTGTGAATTGGACTGTCTCAAGCGATCTTCCTTTGAACAGGTTGATGGGACAACATCTAATAATCTAATATATAAAGGAGAATGTTTGTATGTTTGTGCTCTAATAACCTGGACACTCTAAGACCTACATCAACCAAACTTTGCATGGGATAACCTTTTCTCCAGGAGAAGGCTTTAAGGTTCTTTTGGACCCGATCGGGGTCGCCCTGCTTCCATTGTACCTGCGGCCCTGGGCATGAGCTGGGACACCCCTCCCATGTGTAGCCTCCCGGGACTCGCACCCTCCCACCCGCGAGGTTACATAACCGACCCTTCCCCCCCTACAGAGCTGCAGTGCTCCCACTCACATGCGCAAAACAGCTCAGGCACCTGCCCTGCCCCCAACGGCACCTGAAGCCTCCGGCGTGAGCTGGAGCACCCCTCCCATGTGTAACCACCCCTCCACCCGGGGTTGCACCCTACCCTGGAGATAACGCAGACCTATATTTTTATCCCTATAGATATCAGTGAAACTTTTCTACCATTCAAAAAAAGATAATGGACTACTGTTTTTCAACATTTTGTTCCTCCGGTTTCTCAAGCAATGCCGGGTAACTCCAGCTAGTAATAATATAAGATAATTCTGTTCTATATGAGTTGATATATGGTGCTCATCCTCCTAGTATCCAGCTTCTACAGAATACTGGTGAATTTCATATTAGCAATTACTAGTCAATTATTAACTCGTACTTTGGAGCAGAGTGGCAATATCTGGATGGATGGGTTCTTTGAAACGTCATTGGGGATTCCACCAAGACATGGACAGCTGGCTCAGTGTCTCGGAGTAACACAAAGGGTTCCACAGAAAATGTTTGTAAGAAACGGCAAGATCCATGAGCGATCAGCCATTGCCTTTCTCTCCCCAATTAGCCAGTCAAGCCGGGACTTTCTGGAATGAATCGAGGGCAGGTGTGGTGTTGGGTAGCAGGAGAGACATGCAAGAGGGTGTGGTGTGAAGAATCCTGCTTTCAAGCATGACTCAGAGAGGGGAAAATGTATGGGACATAGCACCTACATTCCCTGGTAGCTGTCAGATTGAAGACAGGAAATCTCAAGGCTGTTTAAGGGAGAAAGCACGAACATTTTCCAGTGTTCAGCCTTACTTATCCATACACATATTAATCAGGATTAGATAATCCAACGCAACTTTAGTTGACACTAGAAAGACAGAATCACAAATGTGTTAAACCAACACTCCAATCCCACAAATTCTTGGCAAAGGTAAAGACTGCATTTTATCAAATCACACTGCTGACTTGACACATCAGAAACACAAGTCAGATGTGTATTTCTATAAGGATGCGTTTACACAGTGGTGCTATTTTAGAATAATGTCCGTCATCCCGAAATAGTGCTGTGCACTTCTTAACAACACTGCTACTATTTCAAAATACATTCGAAATGACAGGTGTCTTATTCTGGCTTCCTGTAAACCTTGTTGCATGAGGAATAAGGAAAACTCTGGTTTTGTGGGCTAGATTTGGAGCATTCGGCTCTGTTCCTGGCTGTTGGAGGAGGGCAAGATCCATTCCATACGAACACGATATTGCCATGATTTGGGCCCCAGCTGCCAGTCTCAGGACATCACTGGGGTTGCTCCTGACTGACGGCAGAGAAAAGGAGAGTGGGAAGTTGCTCCCTGGATCTCAGGGTGAGCATACGTTTCTGCAGGGAACAATCGTGAAACGCACCTGCACGGCAGAGATGGAACCCGGCTTCTGTGTGCACACACTCTGGTTGCTGTCCTACCCTCTTCAAACAACACACTCAGCAGAGTTTGGAGCCTTTCAGCAAAGACACACAAACCCATGGAACTCTGCTCCCTGAACTCCTCTAGGGCTATAGCATCAGTAATTGTTCATATTCCAACAACCCTGACACAACACGGAAAATGCTGTGTGTGATCCCTTTGCAGCAGGGAGGCTATAGCATCAGTAATTGTTCATATTACAGAACCCCGACAGAACACGGAAAATACTGTGTGTGCTCCCCATGCAGCAGGGTTGCCAACCGTCAGAAAATGTCTCTAAAGAAACAGTCAAAATTGGACGCGTCCGTAAAGTGCATAAAACAATTAAGTTGTCCGTAAATTTTGTAAAAGTGCAATAAAATTTCAAAACCCAGCAATTAATCTATAGCAATTCAATTCCTTCTGTGCTGCGCAATAAAATTTCAAAACCCAGCAATTATTCTATAGCAATTAAATTTCTTCTGTACTGGTTCAGGCATTGTACTGTGGAGCAGCAGAAATTGGATGTTTTTGTTGTTTATTTAGCTCAATGGTTGAGGTGATGTAACGTGAATCATGTGCTCCATGTGAAGTTATTACCTACATTATCCCACCGCGTTAGAGTCAGCACATTTTCGTGTATGAATGACAAGGATTACTTTTCACTTTTGGCCATTTATATCCTCATAATATACTACAAAAATTATGTCCTTAAAAAATGTGTCTGTCCCTAAACTTTTCCCATTTTGTCCATAAATGACATTTCTGTGGGTTGGCAACCTTCCTTTGCAGGGCTGGAACCGACACCCCCTGGAAGAGTAGGGCCCATACCCTTGTCGCCCTGCAGACGGGGGTCACTGCAGAGCCCTCTACCGCTCCCCCAGCAGAGTCCTCCTCAGAGCCTTCTTCATCTCCTTGTTCCTCAGGCTGTAGATCAGCGGGTTGAGCAGCGGGGTTGCCACCGTGTAGAACAGCGTCACCACCTTCCCGCTGCCGCCAGAAGCCATAGGGATGGCATAGTTCACTATGACAGAGCCATAGAAGAGGCTCACGATGACCAGATGGGAGGTGCAGGTGGAGAAGGCCTTTTGTCGCCCAGCCCCTGCAGGCAGCCTTAGAACAGCTGTGAGGATGAGCCCGTAGGAGGCCAGGATGAAGAGGAAGGTGGTGAATAGCGTGAAGGAGGTCATGCTAGAGCAGATCTGACCAGCCCAGTGATCTGGGGAGCAGGAGACCGCCAGTAACGGGCCTGGGTCACAAAGAAAATGGTCCAGGGTGTAGGTGCTGCAGAAGGAGAGCTGGGAGATGAGGACGATGGGGGCTATGTACCACAGGAAGCTGTAGAGCCAGCACGAGGCGACCATGGTCCAGCATCGGCGGGGGGACATGAGGACGGGGTAGCGCAGGGGGTGGCAGATGGCCAGGTACCGGTCCAGGGCCATGGCCGCAAGGAGGAGACATTCGGTGCCCCCCGTGGCAAAAAAGAAGTAGAACTGCAGGAAGCAGGCATGGAAGGAGATGCGGAGGCCGGGGTGCAGCAGATCGTAGAGCATCCGGGGCGCGGTGACAGTGACGTAGCAGATCTCCAGCCAGGAGAAATTCCCCAGCAGGATGTACATGGGCAGACGCTGGAGGCGGGGGTCCCGCAGCACGGCCCACACGATGCAGAAGTTCCCCACCACCGTGGCAGCATAGGCCAAGGAGAGCAGGGCACAGAGGAGCTCGCGGCTCTGCCGGCCCAGGGAGGGGAAACCGAGCAATAGGAACTGGGTCACCAAGGTGCTGCCGTTGGCCAGATTCATCAGAGGACCTTGGAGGTGACAGAAACAAGATAGAGGCAGAGTTACTGACTGTCGAACTCTGACATCCCCACCCGTATTACCCAGTATCACCTCAGACACTCACGCTGGGATTCTTCCCTCTTTGGAAACTTTTCAGATTGGAAAAGTTGCTGCTCTTCGGCATTCAGCCGGCTGTTCTTCCTGGGCAATGCTCGCTTGCTCCTCCTTTCATTGCGGAGTCAGCTTTTCTGGGCCAGGCCAGGCTCCCAAACCCCGTCGGCGCCGCTTAGTGTAGCGGCAGGGTGCTCAGAGAAGCTGCATCATGCCCCTTCCTCCCTGGACTTCAAGGCTGAAATGAAATGGCCTCCGCTGGGTTGCATCTTTAGGCACCTAAATCCCTTTGACAATCTGCTCTTAAATTCCTATTGGAAATGGGATCAGGCTCCTAAACCGCTTTCGTCCCTTTCAGAAATGGGATTATTCTCCTAACCCTTCCCCGTCTTACTGCTGCATTTGCAGCCTGCGCTCGAAAGATCATTTAGTGATTCCCCACTTTGCGTTTGCACAGATATGAAAACGACATCGGTCACAGATTGTCGCTAAGGCTCTGTAGACAGAAAATCCGGATCTGATACGGTAAAGTCTGTATTAATACAGTGGTAGGATTAGCCTCTACAAACCATTGTCACATGGAAAATGAAGGTTTAGAGTCAATGAGTAATTAAATAATGAGTTAAGCTATTTTGATTTCAGAAACAGAATTAACATTGCTGAAGTTGCGTAGCTTAACTTGACGTTAGCCCTGCTGTGTAGACGTATCCTAAGAGAGCAATTCATAATTTTTGTTCGAACAAATGAATAACTGCCAATTGAAACAAACAAATAAATTGTCTTTAATACCAGTTATGAATAACATAAGAAGTTAAGATTTAGAAATTGTATTCTTTGCTACAACCAATGAAATCTTAGTAGGATAGTAAGTTAGTCTTCAACATTAGGTGCATATTATATTGATTTCTAGGTTAACTGCGCCTGCTAAATTATCATTGTCTCACGTTCATTCCTTGTTTAGATTAAAACCTTAAATTAATCATTACCTTTTTAGGTAATTGCCAGATTTGGTAAACATGTGACTTTCATAATTGCAGAGCATGTGAATTCCTAGTATGCTTACGATCATTTGAATGTTATATTCCGGGTTTTCATTAACACGGTGATTTGGGACTTCGGTATTAGACTTGTTCCCATTTGATTAAATGTTGAATGAAGACATGTGGTGTGTGTGAAGTCTCCCGGGCTCTCGTGGGCAGCATCCCAGTCTTCAGATGAGCAGACCTGGAGATCATCTGAAGATCACCTCATCTGAGGAAGTGGCTTTTACCCATGCAAGCTCATTTAATTAAATATTCAATTGATAATGACACACATTGTTCGATTGGGTTAACAGCTTACATTTGTCCTATTCCTTTTACCATTGAGCAGAAAGTCAAGTATCGAGCTAATCGAATCCTAGAATCTTAGGGCAGGCAGAGACCTCAGGAATCATCGAGTTCAGCCCCCTGCCCAAAACAGGACCAACCCCAACTCAATCGTCCCAGCCAGGGCTTGGTCAAGCCGGGACTTAAACACCTCTAGGGACAACTAACACCCTTACTAATTTGGTCCAGGACATATTTCCAGCCCTGTGTTCAGAGCAGTGTATTGGATCAATTTCTGGGTTACAAACAATTGGGAAGTGTCAAAAAGAGAGTCTTGATTCCAGTTGGCAGGCAGTAAGCAGGGTGAGGCACCCGGGCTCGGCTCTGGACCGGTTTGTGGGCAGGACAGAGCCGGTGTCGAGGAGAAATGGCAGCGAGAAGGATGCTGTGTGTGAAACCCACCTGTCCGGGAGCTCGCTCTCCATCTCTGCTGGGAGGGAGATGGGCGAGGGGCTGATATCTGCTTTCCCAGCCACTGGGACTCGGGCTCTGGAGATGGGGGAGGTTTGTGGGCACCCAGAGGAGCACCGAGGAGCAGGGACAGCCTCTCAGCACAGGGCCAATCACGGCCAGGGGCTGGCAATGCAGAGGCAGCATCCATCCCCTGGGACGCACCGGGCTCAGCAACCTTCATTCCTTCCAGCAGCGACAGATGGACCTTCCCCTCATGCTGCTTCCTCCCCAGATTTGGCTGCATCCTAACACCCGGCAACCACCTCCCTGTGCGGCTGTTACACAGCGACCCCTCCCCAGAGATGGCTGCATCTCAGTGCCCGGTACCCACCTCACTGTGCAGCTCTGGAAGGCAAAATGCTCCATGATCGCAGGCCCCGGGCAGCCCTCACTCTGGGGGGCGGAGGCGGCGGGATTTTTGTGTTTCTCCTTCGCCAATCGGCATGAAGAGCAAAACCCAGGAAGGGATCCCAGTGTGTGGGGCCAGGACTCAGCCGGCTCCTCGTTAACCATTGTCGTTAGTGCACTCATGGATTGCCAAGGGGCCGAGGTGAGGCCTGGCTGCAGCATGGGTGCTCGAAATGCCGAGGCAGCATCTGGGACGTGCTGGGCTGTCTCAGCCTCCGAACCATGAGTGCAGGGGACTGGATTCACTGATCTCTCGTGGTCCCTTCCAGTCCTGGTGTCCTATGATTCCAGAATTCTAACCTTCATTCCCTCCAGCAGCCCCAGACGGGCCTTCGTTCACCTAGGGGCAGAACTGTAACCGTGTTGATTTGCCTAAAGAGAATCTAGTGAGATTTCAAAAAGGCAGCGGGGGTGAGATAAAAAAAAGGACTTCGTCTCCTTCATTACTCTAGGGGTATGTCTAGACTACAGGCTTTTGTCGACAGAAGTTTTGTCGACAGTACAGTGTAGACGCAAAGGTCAGTGTAGATGCAATACAGAACTCTGTTGACAAAAGGCGTTATTCCTCGTAGAATGATATTTACCGCTGTAGACAAAACTGCTGAGTTCTGTTGACGTTATGTCAACGGAACTCAGCCGCAACGTAGATGCAGGTATCGTTTTGTTGACAAAACCCTGTAGTCTAGACACACCAGGAGACGGGGGAAGGTTCACTGGCCGAGTGAGAGGCTTCAGGCCTAGACAGCCATGATTAAGACTTTGTTAATATAAAGCAGAGTAAAAACTGAGCAAGAAGCAAGTTTCATTTGCAAGTTGGTAAGTTGGCATGCACAGGGCTGATATTATACAGACACTCAAACCTTAGTGGTAGTAGGCACAAGCCATGAGCACATAGCAGAGGGGTCATAACAGAACACCTCATTAAGAATCACCTTGGAACAACACCCTCACACCCAGATTACAAGAAGACACCGATGCAGGTTCAGGACTGGCTCTAACCCAATGGATAACAATTGAGCCCCTCTTGTGTGAGGTATGGGGTGGTAATTAGGCAACAGAAGGTGGCAACCTGATCCATCAAGAGCGATGTGCAACGTGTTTGTAGCTGTCTATGAAAGTGAGCCCCGAAGGGTGGTTGTCGACTAACATGGAGGCAGTACTGAATCTAAAGTATTGATTGTTGGTCCATTGTCTCGGCTTACATAAACTGTAGTGGCACAGTAGTAAGTCTCTTCGCTGACAACTATTGTTGTATCTCACCTGGCAGTAAACCTAGCTGGGTGCTTTCAATCCTCATCTGATTTGTGGTCTCTGGGGCTCTCTCAGAGTCTGTTGTGTTGACTAATGTGTTAGACAGGGGAGCACACGTACGCATACAGCTGAGAGTTTATCATCATTGACGGAGCAGAAGACCTGTCAGGAACCCATAGGGATGACAGTCTGATGACAGGCCCAGCTTAACAAAGCCCTGGCTGGAATATTTCAATTCTCCATTGTGGAAGAACTTTGCATTTCAGTTTTAGTGTCTGACGTACCATGTTGGGATAGAGTTGTAATGGGAAGGACAAATGCAAAATGCTCCACTTAGGAAGAAACAATCCATTTCACACACACAGAATGGGAAGTGACTGTCTAGGAAGGATCCTGCAGAAGGGGACCTAGGTGTCAGAGTGAACCACAAGCTAAATATAAGTCAACAGTTGCAAAAAAAAAGCAAACGTAATTCTGGGAGGCATTAACAGGAGTGTTGTGAGACAGACACGAGAAGTCATTCTTCCACTCTAGTCTGCACTGATCAGGCCTCAGATTGAGTATTGAGTCCAGTTCTGGGCCCCACCTTTCCAGAAAGATGTGGAGAAATTGGAGAAGGTCCAGAGAAGAGCAACAAGAATGATGAAAGGTCTAGAGAACATGAGCTATGAGGGAAGGCTGAAAGAATTGGGCTTGTTTAGTTTAGAAAAGAGAAGACTTATATGGTAGATAGCTGAACACGAAGAAATAGTCTCACATTGCAGTGAGGGATGGTCTAGGTTGTATATTGGGGAAAACTATTTCACCAAGAGGGCTCTGTCCGGCCTAAGAGGCAGTGGCGGATCCCATGTTACTGAGTTGAGTCCATTGACTGAGGCACAGATTCTTAGCTGAAGCCATATGCCACTTTACTGGTAAATTTGATATTATCAATTACTAGCCAATTATTAACTCGTGCTTTGGAGCATAGTGGCAATATCTGGATGGATGGGTTCTTTGAAACGTCATTTGGGATTCCTGCAAGTCACAGGCAGCTGGCTCAGTGTCTCAGAGTAACACAAGGAGTTACACAGAAAACATTTTTAAGAAAAGGCAAAATCCATAAGAGAGATCAGCCATTGCCTTTGTCTCCCCAATTAGCCCGTCCAGCCAGGACTTTCCGGAATGAAGCCAGGGCCAGTGTGGTGTTGGGTAGCAGGAGAGACATGCGAGAGGGTGTGGCATGAAGAGTCCTGCTTTCAAGCATGACTCAGAGAGGGGGAAATTTATGGGACATAGCACCTACATTCCCTGGTAGTTGTCAGATTGAAGACCGGAAATCCCAAAGCTGTCTAAGGGAGAACGCACGAATATTTTCCAGTGGTCGGCTTTACTTATCATACACGCATTAATGAGGACGGGACAATCAAAGGCAACTTTAGTTGACCCTACAAAGACAGACTCACAAATGTGTTAAAGCAACGCTCAGATCTCACAAACTCTTGGCAAAGGTAAAGACTGCATTTTCTCAAATCACACTGCTAACTTGACACATAAGAAACAAAAGTAAGAGGCATATTTCTATAAGGGTTCATCCACACAACGGCGCTATTTCGAGATAATGTCTGTCATCCCGAAATAGTGCTGTGCACTTCTTAACAACAAGGACATTATTTCAAAATACATTTGGAACAACAGTTGTCTTATTTCGGCTTCCTGTAAACCTTGTTGCGCGAAGAATAAGGAAAATGCTGGATTTGTGGGCTAGATTTGGAGCAACTGCTTCCATTTCTGGTTGTTGGAGGAGGGCGCGATCCACTGCATATGAACATGATGTTGCAATAATTTAGGTCTCACTGGGGTTGCTCCTTACAGACGGCAGAGAAAAGGAGAGTGGGAAGTTGCCCCCTGGATCTCAGAGTAAGCTCACATTTCTTCAGGGAACAATCGTGAAACACAGCTGCACAAGAGGGGCAGAGCTGGCACCCAGCCTCTGTGTGCACACTGTGTTTTATTGTCCTGCCCTCTTCAATCACACATACTCAGCAGGACTGCAGGCCTTCAGCGAGGATGGATAAACCCGTGCAACTCTGCTCCCTTGACCTCCTCCGGGGCTGTTCATATTGCAGACACTCCGATAGAGCACGCAAAATGCTGTGTGTGTCTCTGTATGTGTGTTTGTGTGTGTGTGTGTCTCCTCCCTTTGCAGGGCTGGGACAAACACCCTCCTGGAAGAGTAGGTCCCATACCTATGGCCCCCTTCTCCCAAGCCTGACTCTACAGACAGGGGTCACCACAGAGCCCCCTACCGCTTCCCCAGCAGGGTCCTCCTCAGAGCCCCCTTCATCTCCTTGTTCCTCAGGCTGTAGATCAACGGGTTGAGCAGCGGGGTCGCCATGGTGTAGCACAGCGTCACCACCTTCCCACTGCCCTCAGAGGCTGTCGGGATGACGTAGTTCACTGTGAGGGAGCCATAGAACAAGCTCACGATGACCAGGTGGGAGGTGCAGGTAGAGAAGGCCTTGTGCCGCCCGGACCCTGCGGGCAGCCTTAGCACGGCCCTGATGACGAGCCCGTAGGAGGCCAGGATGAAGAAGATGGTGGTGAAGAGCATGAGGGAACCCATGATGGAGCAGATCTGATCAGCCAAGTGCACTGGGGAGCAGGAAGCGGCCAGTAATGGGCCCGGGTCACAGAGAAAATGGTCCAGGGTGTAGGTGCTGCAGAAGGAGAGCTGGGAGATGAGGACGATGGGCGCTATGTACCATAGGAAGCTGGCAAGCCAGCACAAGGCAACCAAGGTCCAGCATCGGTGGGGGGACATGAGGACGGGGTAGCGCAGGGGCTGGCAGATGGCCAGGTACCGGTCCAAGGCCATAGCTGCAAGGAGGAGACATTCGGTGCCCCCCGTGGCAAAGAAGAAGTAGAACTGCAGGAAGCAGGCATGGAAGGAGATGGGGAGGCCGGGGGACAGCAAGTCATAGAGCATCCGGGGCGTGGTGACGGTGACGTAGCAGATCTCCAGCCAGGAGAAGTTCCCCAGCAGGATGTACATGGGCAGGCGCTGGAGGTGGGGGTCCCGCAACACGGCCCACACGATGCAGAAGTTCCCCACCACCGTGGAGGTATAGGCCAACGAGAGCAGGGCAAAGAGGAGCTCACGGCTCTGCTGGCCCAGGGAGGGGAAACCCAGCAGCAGGAACTGGGTCACCGGAGTGCTGCCGTTGATCGAATTCATCAGAGGTCTCTGGAGGTGATAGAAATGGGACAGAGACAGAATCACCAGTCATCAGACTCTGACACACCCACAGCCCTGTATCGAATCTCACATTCATGTTGGGTTTCTTCCCCATTTTGGGCTGGATAAAGTTCCTGACCTGCGGCGTTCAGCCAGCTGTTCTCCCTGGGTAACTTTAGCTTGCTCCTCCTTTCATGGTCGGTCAGCTTCTCTGGGTCAGGCCAGGCTCCAAAACCCCATTGGAGCTGCTCAGCCTAGTGGGCGATGCTCAGAAAAGTTGCATCATGGTCCTTCCTTCCTGGACTTCAAGGCTGAAATGAAATGACCTAAGTTGGTCTGTATCTTTAGGCACCAAAACCCCTTTGACAGTCTGCTCTTAAATTCCTATTGGAAATGGGATTAGGCTTCTAAATCACTTTCATCCCTTTTGGAAATGAGATTATTCTCCTAACCCTTCCCCTGGCCTCACTGCTACATTTACAGCCTGTGCTCAAGAGGCCATTTTATAATTGTTCACTTTGGGTGCATGTAGACTGGCAGGCACCTCACCAATAGATATTTAAAGAAAAAGAAAGAAAGAAAGAAAGAAAGAAAGAAAGAAAGAAAGAAAGAAAGAATATAATTACCCCTTGACTCTAAACCTTCATTTCCCATGTTACGATGGATTGTAGAGTTTAATCCAACCACTGTATTAATACAGATTTTACCGTATCAGATCCTGATTTTCCATCTGCGGGGCCTTATGGACAATCAATAACTGATGTCGTCCTCAGATCTGTCCAAACACAAAGGCTGCGTCTAGACTGGCATGATTTTGCGGAAATACTTTTAACGGAAAAACTTTTCCGTTAAAAGTATTTCCGCAAAATCATGCCAGTCTAGACGCAGCCTTTGTGTTTGGACAGATCTGAGGACGACATCAGTTATTGATTGTCCATAAGGCCCCGCAGATGGAAAATCAGGATCTGATACGGTAAAATCTGTATTAATACAGTGGTTGGATTAAACTCTACAATCCATCGTAACATGGGAAATGAAGGTTTAGAGTCAAGGGGTAATTATATTCTTTCTTTCTTTCTTTCTTTCTTTCTTTCTTTCTTTCTTTTTCTTTAAATATCTATTGGTGAGGTGCCCTCTGAGAGCCGCCATTAAGCACCAGAACCTCATGATGCCAGGTACTGCATAGACACAGAGGGAAAAACCTTAAAACATCTACCTTACACCAAATATTTTCCAAAGTGGATTGAATTGAGAAATTGTGTTATGGTTCCTATTGAGTTCCAGACTCAGAATGTAAAATTAAACACTGCATTCTAAAACAGTTCCTCAATTTGACTAGCATGTGGAGTTCAGAAATAGATTATAATTTTTTTAATTTAAAAAGCTACCTTAGGGTACGTCTACACAGCAGCATTATTTCAGAATAATGAATGCTATTCCATAATAATTTAGGGTATGCCTACACTTGCACCCTCTTTCGAGAGAGGGATGCAAATGAAGATATTTGAAATTGCAAAAGGAAGCTTGGATTTAAATAGCCCACACTTAATTTGCATATTCGTGTTATGGAGCTATTTTGAAATAACAGACACTGTTAAAATGTGGTTATTTCGAGAGAAAACCCTTCTTTCAAAATAACCCTTATTCCTTATACAGTGAGGTTTACCAGTTATTTCGAGGACCATCTGGAACCACTGAGAACAGCCTCTCTCTATCCTCTTTGGAACCTCCCTTCAGGAAGTTGCAGGCTGCTCTCAAATCCCCCCTCACTCTTCTCTTCTGCAGCCTAAACAGACCCAAATCCCTCAGCCTCTCCTCGTAGGTCATGTGCTCCAGCCCCCGAATCATTTTGGTCGCCCTCCGCCGGGCCCTCTCCAATGTGTCCACGTCCTTTCTGTAATGGGGACCCAGAACGGGACACAATACTCCAGATGTGGCCTCACCAGTGCCGAATAAAGTGGAACGATCACTTGTCTGGATCTGCTGGCAATGCTCCTCCTAATGCACCCTAATATGCCATTAGCCTTCCTGGCTACAAGGGCGCCCTGTTGACTCATATCCAGCTTCTCACCTACTGCAATCTCCAGGGCCTTTTCTGCCAAAGTGCTGCTTAGCCAGTCGGTCCCCAGCCTGTAGCAATGCTTGGAATTCTTCCATCCCAAGGGCAGGACTCTGCATTTGTCCTTGTTGAACCTCATCCAATTTCTTTTGGCCCAAACCTCTAATCTGTCCAGGTCACTCTGGACCCTGTCCCTGCCCTCCTACGTATCCACCTCTCCCCCTAGCTCAGTGTCATCTGCACGCTTGCTGAGGGTGCAACCCATCCCCTCATCCTGGTTCCTAATAAAGATGTTGAAGAAAACCGGTCCTAGAATGGATCCTTGGGGCACTCCGCTAGAAACCGACCGCCAGCCTGACATCGAGCCGTTGTTCATTACCCGTTGGGCCTGAGAATCTAGCCAGCTTTCTATCCACCTTCCAGGCCACTTATCCAATCCATACTCCCTGAACTTGCTGGCAAGGATAGTGTGAGACTGTATGAAAAGCTTTGCTAGAGTCATATCCACTATGTTCCTCCTAACAATTCTGTGCCGGAGAAATTACACCAATACTAATTTGGGACATATTTCCAGCCCTGTGTTCAGAGCAGTGCATTGGACCAATTTCTGGGTTACAAACCAATGCTAAGGTTCAAAAAGAGAGTCTTGATTGCAGTTGACAGCCGATTCGACCCTGGTCTCAGCCCTGGGCCGGTTTGGGGGCAGGACAGAGCCGGTGTCGAGGAGAAATGGCAGCGAGAAGGACGCTGTGTGTGACACCCACCTGGCGGGGAGGTCGCTCTCCGTCTCTGCTGGGAGGGAGCTGGGCGAGGGGCTATATCTGCTCTCCAGTGCTGGGGCTCTGGAGAGGGGGGAGGTTTGTGAGCACCCAGAGGAGCACCGAGGAGCAGGGACAGCCCCTCAGCACAGGGCCAATCACAGCCAGGGGCTGGCAATGCCGAGGCAGCATCCATCCCCTGGGACGTGCTGATCTGTCTCAGCCTCAGCAACCTTCATTCCCTCCAGTAGCGACAGATGGGCCTTCCCCTTGTGCTGTCCCCTCCCCAGAGCTGGCTGCATCTCAGTGCCCAGCAGCCACCACGCTGTGAAGCTGCTTCACTGCGCCCCCTCCCCAGAGCTGGCTGCATCCCAGCGTCTACACTCTCATGTCGCTAAGCGGTTTGCTTTGTTGACAGAACTGAATGTAGTCTAGACACTCTTTGTTGACAGAAGCTTTACCAACAGTATCTGTCGACAAAGCCTCTGTCGACAAAAGCCTGTAGTCTAGATGTACCTTCTGTGTGCATGATGTGTCTGAATTTTAGTTGCCGGTTACAGAGCCCACCAAGGACTTTTCTTTATTCTGTTCGGTTTGGGGTGGGGCTGGAGTGCTCGGTGGACCGGTGTGACGAAGGCCAAGACAACAGGAGACAGTGCAGGTCAGGCTAGATGAGGTAGTCATGCCTTTTTCCCTTCAACTTTCTGACTCTGTCAATATGAAATACCTCAGTGAAGTTTGGGAAGAAGCAAGCACAGCTAGGGTAGAAGTAAATATCAAAGACAAGCAAACAGGATCTCCAGGTGCTAAGGAGGCTCAGAAGAGCAGAAGTGATTATCTCTTTTTTTTTAAAGACACAAAGTCCAACACCAGCTCAGTAGGGAAATGATGGTCCTAGACAGTCAAAGGCAATTGCATCGTCCTTGTTTTCTACATACAATGTCTCTTCAGGAGCCTTGGCTGGGGGCATCTGAATTATTTTTGTCCTTATTCTCTAGGCACTGATCAAACACCTGGGTCTAATTTATGGCAGCTTTTGAGACCTGAAACTCCTACGGATGCCAAGAAGGCTCCAGAGCCTTTGCAAAGCAAGCTCATTATGAAAACGATCAAGGGCTGTAACAAGTCCAGGCCCAACTCCTGCCCTGGCCACACTGACAAATACCCAGCAAAATGCTCAGTGACAAATACAAGGAATGCAGCCCACCTCATTAGCCTAATGAGCACCAGCCCTGCAATTGTCATGTTCCATTCCTTCCCCCCTTCTTCTCTGTTACTAAATACCAGTTTTCTATTATTTCTATGCCAGCTCATCATCGGATGAAGGCGGCTGTGCCCACAAAAGCTCATGATACTAGGGATATTTTTGTTAGTCCCTAAAGTGCCCCCGGATGACTCGTTGTTTCTAAAGGAATTTTTGCGTTGGCTGTGACAAACAGGCCCACTATCGGAGCAATGAATGCCTTTGGGGTTTATTAATTTCCCTTGCGCCTCTGAGGCTGGGAATTGCTTCTGAGAAAAGGGAATTGTATGGGTCTGTGTGAGCAAGAGAGTCTAAAGCAGCAGGAGCTGAAAAATCAAAGTCCTTGACATTATTTCTGACCATCCCCGGACCCTCCCACGCCCCTCACTCTCTGTTCACTCAATGCACGTTTTACGGTACAACCACCTCTTCACCATCACCACATCCTGCTGCCCTTAGTGCCCATTATACAGTGTAACTGCTCCTCCCCTACCCCGCCTGTTATGCTTTTAATTTTTTCCCTCTGGTTGTGGCCCTTAGTAAGTACAGTCACTCCTTTCTCACTGGCGTTGTACCATAAAACTGGTGTTGTACATGTAACCATGTACCACATTCTTCTCATACATCATTGGCTTCCCTCTGCTGCCTACTTTGGATTAATTGTCCTTTCAATTGCTTGACCCCACTGGGTTTGACATCCAAGTTCCTTAACTTGGCGTGCTAACCCTTTCCTGTTCTTTGATTTGGACGCACATTTTCTAGGTCAAGATGCCTTCCCCAAGCTTCAACCGTGAAAGAGAACGGGTGTATCTTGGCTTTGACAAGTTTCCTCTCTGTGCTAAATGCAGAGTTATAGGCAGGGTAATAGGAAAGGCAGCTTAGAATCCCAGAATCCCAGGGCTGGAAAAGACCTCAGAAGTCATCAAGTCCAGCCTATCCCAACTAAATCAACCCCTCAGGACAGCCACCACCAGCTTGGGACATAGGACAGATAAAGGAATGTAGGGAGGCTGGGGGGCTCCTTCAGGGACACAGTGGATAAAGTACCCACCTCCAGAGCCAGAGATCAAGGGCCCAAGCCTGCCCCCCCCCCCCCTCCCTGCCAAGCAAAAACTCAAAAACCTTTAGGGTTGGATATTCCACCACCTCCCTAGGGAACCCATCCCTGTGCTTCCCCACACACCTAGGGAAATAGATTTTCCTAATATCCAACCTAGACCTCCCCCACTGTAACTTGAGCCCATTGCTCCTTGTTCTGCTATCTGCCAACCCTGAGAACAGCCTCTCTCCATCCTCTGGAACCTCTCTGCAGGAAGTTGAAGCTTAGCATGAGTGGATTTAGCTTGTGTATCTCCCAAGTAGTCACCTACAAAGCTCTATAGCCACTAATTGTTGCTCTGATTGTTGTTATATGAGGATGACTCCTTTGCTCAATGAATTCACGAAGCAGAGATCAGGGCATTGGTGTGAAATGTATCCTTTTTAATCAATTTGTGCACATGTTCTAAAAGGCAATGGAAGTGAAAAGCCATCTCCCAGAGTTGTTGTGTGACATGATGAAGGCATTGAACAATCTATCAGAGTCTTATAGGAAGCTGTTCAGAAGTACTAAGGAATATTACTTACAATTAGGCCAATGGGAGCACTCATGAAATTCATGTGACATCCAGAAATAACCCAAGCCAAGCCAAAGGCTAAAGTACTGTACTAGGATGGCCCAGAAGAAAAAGGAGAATCCCAAATGGATTTTTCTTTAGACTGGGTCAGATTTTTCCAGTTTTAAAATTCTGGTGAAAATAGATAAATTGGCACAAAATGAGGTCAATATTTTACAAAATATTGCTCGTTACTCACTACTTTTTTTCCCTTTCATAGTTCGTATTTTGAAGATATAAAATCAGGAAAGTACTTTGATTAAATATTCTCTGTTGGTTTTTCAATTATTTTAGACCACACTATCAACAGTGATGGAAATTTCCATTGTATTCAGAGTTTTTTTATAACAACATTCTCTTTTCCAGTTTTCCAGACATGCTTACAACAGGTCAAAGCTTTCAAAAGGCATAATATCAAGTTACACTGTGAGGGTCCTCAGGAAAAATTCAACCAAATGTTAATGAATTTCCCTCTCCCCGTTATTTTAACTAACTCTGCTTTTCACTCTCCAAGGGTATGTCTACACAGCCAGGAGTAACTCCTTCAATGAGGAGTAATAGTAGTTCGAATTAAGAGTTTTAATTTGAACTACCTAGCCCATGCTGCGTGTAGCTGCGGGCAGGTAGTTCGAACTACCGGGCATTTAAAAATGGCGGCGCCCGGGAACATGCAAATGAAGCCTGGGATATTTAAATCCAGGGCTTCATTTGCAAGTTCGAGTGCCTACATTAGCCACCCTAGTCCGAACTAGGGTGGCTAGTATAGACATACCCTAAGGTCACTGGTTGTGTGAGAAGATGGCCTTCCTCACTGTTTTCTTAAATGCTCCCTTCACCTCTTTGTTCCTCAGTGTATATATTATGGGGTTCAACACGGGGGTTACAACTGTGTAAATGAGGGAAATCATCTGATCACTCTCTGGGGTGGAGCTAGATTTGGGTTTCAGGTAGGTGAAAAGGCCCGTCCCGTAGAACAAAGTCACCACCATGAGGTGGGAGGAGCAGGTGGAGAAGGCTTTACGCCTCCCCTCCGCTGACGGCAGCCTGAGGATGGTGGAGATAATGCAGACGTAGGACAGGATTATCAATAGAAAAGGGCCCATGATGAACAGTGCCGACATAGTCAAGCCCAGGATCTCGTTTTTCGATGTGTCAGCGCAGGCCATTTTCTCTACTGGCCGGATGTCGCAAAAGAAGTGGTGGATGTGGTTGGATCCGCAGAAAGGCAGGCTGAAAAGCCACAGTGTTTCAGCTCCTTCTGCCAAGAGACCGATGGTCCAAGACACAGCCGCTAGCAGCGCACACGCCCAACCGCTCATGATGGTGGTGTAGTGCAAGGGGTGGCAGATGGCCACGTAGCGGTCGTAGGCCATGGCTGCGAGGAGGCAGCATTCTGTGAGGCCCAAGGTGGTGAAGACCAACATCTGGACCATACAGCCCACAATGGAGATGGTCTTTTCCTCCACCAGGAGGTGAACCAGTAGCTGTGGGAGCACATTGGTGGTGTAGCAGATTTCTAGGAAGGACAAGTTCACCAGGAAGAAATACATGGGGGTGTGGAGGGAGGGGTTGAGCTTTATCAGGAGGATAATGATCAGGTTCCCCATCAAGGCAACTAGGTAAATTACCAGAAGCAGCAGAAATAGAAGGATTTGCAGCTCGTTAAGGTAGGAAAAGCCCACCAGGATGAACCCACCGGAGATGGTCTGGTTCCCACCAGGGCTGCTCTCAGAATAGGTCATCTGCAGGGGTGACAAAGAAAGAGACGCTAAAGCCGAACGTGTGGAACACGGACCATGTGGCAGTGAATTAAACAGGTCAGGCTGGGTCGCCACCTCTTGGGAGCCTTCAGAATAAAACCAGCTGCAGCTCCCTGAGTGCTCTCATCAGCAGGTGTAAATGGGTGTCGGTGTTTTTGTGTCAATCTAGATCAGTTGGACTTGTGTCCACATTGACTGTGGAGGAATTACAACAGGTGGTGTTCTGATGTATTAACGCCAAAGAAGCCTCATCAATTTCCACCAGCAACAGAGTTATACTATTTTCTTCTGCCCAGGAATTGATTCTGCTTCTTCAGACAGTGTGTGTGTGTGTGTGTGTGTAGATGAATACTAAAAAAAGAGACAAGTCTTTCCTTTTTCTCCCTTTGGAGATGTTATTCTGCTGGGCCCAATATTGAAACCAGTAGATGATTTTTTTTACTTGTTTTGTGCTCAGAAATATTATTGTCTAAATTCTCGAGATCATTTTTAATCATTTCTGTCATTATCATAGCAACATCTTCAATGTGTTAGTTTCTCTTGATATAAAAATAAAACCTAGGGCCTGATTTTTAGCTGCTATAAGTCTTATAAGCCCATGGATGTAAAGAGAGCTAGTGGGATTTTCACCTATAGGGATACGTCTACACTGTGTGGCCATTTTGGCATCCTGGTGACTCTTGTTCTACGAGGGTTAAGGAATATCTCGAAATAGCACGTTATTTCAAAATTTGGCACTGTGCAGATGTGCCAAAGTTCAAAATAAGCTATTTTGAAATAAATTTGAAATAAGATATGCAATTTGCACAGCGAAACTTGCGTATCTTATTTCGAGTTTAGGGTACGGTGTTCCATCTCCTTCCTCTTAAGAGTTTTTAAAAAGAAAGATCCCATGAAAGAAGACGTTTAGTTTTTATCCCAGATGTTTTACTTAAAGGTTAATAAATGACAAGGAATTTCATAATCACGGCAATCATAATGAACAAATTGATTGAAACAAAAATGAGTAACAATACATATAGCTTTTGCTTATCTTTACCACCTGCAAAATGCATCAAATAATAGTGAATTATCAGGCTATTAGGTTGGACATGAAACATTTCCTAGCTCTCAGGGTGGTGAAACACTGGAATAAATTGCCTAGGGAGGTTGTGGAATCCCCATCTCTGGAGATATTGAAGAGCACGTTAGACAGACACCTGTCAGGGTTGATCTAGATTGTGCTTGGTCCTGCCATGAAGGCAGGGGACTGGACTCAATGACCTCTCGAGTTCCCTTCCCATTCTAGTGTTCTATGATTCTATGATCAAGGTGGAAACTGGGAATGAAAGGGTGAAGGGATTTGGGTTACACAGTCAGCATTCCCAGAAATGCATTCTCATGAAACCAGATACTGTGCCACAACGATACGACAATTCTCCTGGAAAGTCAACACACACGCACAAACACTTCTGTGCTCAAAGGGATGAACGTGAGACAATTAAAACGGGCCACAAAAGCAGCCTCTGGCAGCGCACGGTACAAAGAGCACAGCACAGAACCAAAGGGAATGTCATGGTCTAAACAGGGAACATTGGAGAAGAGGTGGAAATTCTTGGGCCTCCCTTAAAAACCTCTTTGGTGGAGTCTAAATGGACATCTCTGAGCACAACCACAAAAGGAAATTCAGAGCTGGCAGGAAAATGGAAGATCCATCTCAGGAGAAATTCCAATATTACAATTTTCATTTTCAACATGAATTGACGTGAAATTTGACAGAGAAAAACCCCTGAATTCTGAGTCAATGTGAAATCATGTGGGAAATAAAAACTGTCCCCCAACATCAACGTTTTCTCATGGAAAACATCAGTGCTGACGAAACCATCATTCAGGTGGGATTTGTTTGATTGTTGTGTTGGCTGGTGCTGGGAAAAGCTCTCCATGAATGGAGACATTTACTCACCATGAGGAATAGGGGCCATGCAGGTTCTGGTCACTGGGGGGTCAGTGATATTTTCATAGCTCTCCAGGGCATCCGGATGCTCCATGGATAGTCAGGAGAACATGAAAGGAACTAAAGAAATACACGTTAGCTGGAGGGAGGGATGAGGTACATTAAACACCTTTTCACTCTGGGGTGGCAGGTGAAGTCAACTCTTTGAGAAGGGATCGGACTTTGCCCACCCACCCGACTGTGTTCAAATCCAAAAAGAGGGCCCACATCAAGGAACAACATTTCTTTTTGGATTCAATGAGGAGGAGGAGGAGGTGGTTTGGGAGCAGAGGGGAGTAAGGATGAGAGGACAAGAGTAAAGAAACTACCCCTCCTCCACCCCCACCACAATAGCACGACCAACACAAACCCTGCTTAGACTCAAGACATGGGGGTGACCATGTGTGGGGCTTATCTATCACTTTGGGAGGCACTACAGTAATACAGGGCCACATCTTCAGATGATGTAATTTAGGATAAAACCTCTGAGTTCTAGCTCACAAGCTGACCCATGAATTGAATTGAGAATAATAGAGTCAGAGAACAATAGTTCAATTAATATACCAAGGAAGAGACTGTCCGGTTGAGATAGATAGATAGATAGATAGATAGATAGATAGATAGATAGATAGATAGATAGATAGATAGATAGATAGATAGATAGATAGATAGATAGATAGATAGATAGATAGATAGATAGATAGATAGATAGATAGATAGATAGATAGATAGATAGATAGATAGATAGATAGATAGATAGAAGGGGTGTGTGGGGATGGATAGATAGATAGATAGATAGATAGAAGGGGTGTGTGGGGATGGATAGATAGATAGATAGATAGATAGAAGGGGTGTGTGGGGATGGATAGATAGATAGATAGATAGATAGAAGGGGTGTGTGGGGATGGATAGATAGATAGATAGATAGATAGAAGGGGTGTGTGGGGATGGATAGATAGATAGATAGATAGATAGAAGGGGTGTGTGGGGATGGATAGATAGATAGATAGATAGATAGAAGGGGTGTGTGGGGATGGATAGATAGATAGATAGATAGATAGAAGGGGTGTGTGGGGATGGATAGATAGATAGATAGATAGATAGAAGGGGTGTGTGGGGATGGATAGATAGATAGATAGATAGATAGAAGGGGTGTGTGGGGATGGATAGATAGATAGATAGATAGATAGAAGGGGTGTGTGGGGATGGATAGATAGATAGATAGATAGATAGAAGGGGTGTGTGGGGATGGATAGATAGATAGATAGATAGATAGAAGGGGTGTGTGGGGATGGATAGATAGATAGATAGATAGATAGAAGGGGTGTGTGGGGATGGATAGATAGATAGATAGATAGATAGAAGGGGTGTGTGGGGATGGATAGATAGATAGATAGATAGATAGAAGGGGTGTGTGGGGATGGATAGATAGATAGATAGATAGATAGAAGGGGTGTGTGGGGATGGATAGATAGATAGATAGATAGATAGAAGGGGTGTGTGGGGATGGATAGATAGATAGATAGATAGATAGAAGGGGTGTGTGGGGATGGATAGATAGATAGATAGATAGATAGAAGGGGTGTGTGGGGATGGATAGATAGATAGATAGATAGATAGAAGGGGTGTGTGGGGATGGATAGATAGATAGATAGATAGATAGAAGGGGTGTGTGGGGATGGATAGATAGATAGATAGATAGATAGAAGGGGTGTGTGGGGATGGATAGATAGATAGATAGATAGATAGAAGGGGTGTGTGGGGATGGATAGATAGATAGATAGATAGATAGAAGGGGTGTGTGGGGATGGATAGATAGATAGATAGATAGATAGAAGGGGTGTGTGGGGATGGATAGATAGATAGATAGATAGATAGGAATACACATGGATGGATGGGTGAGGATATTCATGGATGGATGGATGAGAAAAGACACAGATACACACACATGCTCAAACTCACGCTAAGCTCCTCTGCCCATGCATGGGAAATTTAAATGAAGAAACCAGGGACCTGATCTCGCACCCACTGCCGCCAGGGCCATAACACCAGTGGACGTCCCGGGGAGAAGGCCTGTGAGCTTCAGTCGTTCATTGGCAGCCGACCGTGTTTCAGAGGAGAAGTTCTGTCACATCACTGATGGGGCTAAATGGGCTGAAGGAAAACGGGGGGTTATTTCACTCGCTGGCCTCTGGGATCAGGTCCCTACCGTCGGTTTTTTATAGTGTTCCTCGGAGGCAGAATATCGCTGCCTCAAACAGCAACAAAACAAAATTCCCCTGGTAGGTCATTTCATCGGCAGTTGCATCATCAACAACACAACATGTGTTTTCTAGACAACAAATGTAATGGGATTTCCAGACTGTGGTGAACAGGGTGATGCCATTTTCCTCTAGGAGACCAGGGACGTGATGTTCAAAGCACCACACAGCATCAGGGCCAGCTCCCAGATCTCATGGCTCCACTTCCCTGATGCTCAGACTCTGGGCCCCACTCTTGTCTCAGAGTCAGGCTAAGACGCCAGCCCCACCTGCTCTAACCATTACACCCCACTGCTCTGCCAGAGCTGGGAACAGAACCCAGGAGTCCTCACTCCCAGGGCCTCCTGCCCTGCCCACAGGAACATTTCCCTCCACATGGGCCAGACCCACAGCCCAGAGCAGTCCAGGGGACGGGTCTCTTTCCACTCAGTTTGTTATATGCTGGGGCACCGAGAAGTCAGTCCTTCTCCATGATGGTCATCACCCCCCGCCTGGATCTCCAACTCTGTTCCTTCAGTCGTGTTCCTCTGTCTCTGTCCGAGCCTTTCTCCAGCTTTAGACTCTTTTGCTATGTACTGCCGCACATTTTCTGTTTCTCCTCGGTCACCTAATTTTTCTTCAGCACTTTATGCCCTTGACTTGACTTAACCAACACATTACTCATGTTCGCTTGCTAGAATCTAGTGCCTACAACTTCCTTCCTGCATTTGCAGGTCTTGGGTACAGTTACCGTGGGCTGCTCATTTCTCAGTTTTTCACAGAAGGGGGATATTTTATGTGTGTATCATTGCACATTTTTACCCCTTACCCACATCTCCAAACATGACACTAGCCTAGGGGGAGACGTAGATACATTGGAGGGCAGGGAGAGGGTCCAGAGTGACCTAGACAAACTGGCAGATTGGGGCAAAAGAAATCAGAAGAGGTTCAGCAAGGACAAGTGCAAAGTCCTGTACTTGGGAGGGAAGAATCCCAAGCATTGGTACAGGCTGGGGACTGACTGGATGAGTAGCAGTTCTGCAGAAAAGGCCCTGGGGTTACAGTGGATGTGAAGCTGGATATGAGTAAGGCAGGGCGCCCTTGTAGTCAAAAAGGCTAATGGCATTTTGGGGTGCATTAGGAGGAGCATTGCATGCAGATTCAGAGAAGTGATTACTCCCCTTTATTCAGCTCTGGTGAGGCCACATCTGGACATGGGCGTATGGGAGAGGGACCAGCAGAGGGCAACCAACATGATTCAGGGGTTGGAGCACACAACCTACAAGAAGCGGCTGAGGGATTTGGGCTTGTTTAGTCTGCAGAAGCGAAGAGTGAGGGGGGATTTGAGCGCAGCCTTCAACTTCCTGAAGGGGGGTTCCAAAGAGGATAAAGAAAGGCTGTTCTCAGTGGTGACAGATGGCAGAACAAGGAGCAATGGTCTCAAGTTGCTGTGGGGGAGGTCTACGTTGTATATTAGGAAAAACTATTTTTCTCGGGGCGGGAGGGAGGTGAAGCACTAGGATGGGTTTCCTAGGGAGGAGGTGGAATCTCCATCCCTAGAGGTGTTGAAGTCTTGGCTTGACAAAGCCCTGGCTGGGATGGCTGAGTTGGGGTTGGTCCTGCTTTGGCAGGGAGTTGGACTCAATGCCTCTGACTGAATTCTAGGGAAATTTGGGGAAAGGAGTCAGAGGGTATGTCTACACTAGCTCATTAATTCAAGCTAGGTAGGCAAATGAGGTGACCAGAGTTGAAAATGAAGCCTGGGATTTAAATATCCCGGCCTTTATTTGCATGTTCCCAACCGGTCGCCATTTTGAAATTTCACTAGCCCGAACTCATTGCCGCGTGGCTACAGGCGACAGTGAAACGTTAATTCGAACTAAATCCTTAGTTCGAATTAACTGTTACTCCTCATTCCACGCCTATACTTAGGTGGCCATATAGGTAGGTAAGCAAAGTGAACAGTATTTCTCAAATGAAGATGAGACTAGAGTCTACATATATATTTTAGAGAGCTGTGCAAGTGTCTGTTTGCGAATCCGTCCATTTGTGAGTCAGCATGGTCAAGAACTCCTTAAAAACCAGTAAGAGCCAGAACTTCACCTGATGTAAAAATGCATAATCACCCTGATGAGAAGCTCGTAACCTGGCCAATGCTTAGTAAATTGACTGAATTCAGAATGAGCAATTCAGAGACCAACAGATTGATCAATAGGTACCTGGTGAGGTGAATTTGACAAAATAGGATGGACAGAGAGAGGGGTGTGGAACCCCCCCCCCACAGAGATCGTGTGTTTGCTCATGTTCTCTGCCCATGTACGGAAAAATCAAATGATTAACCCTTTGACAAGAACTTGCTTCAATTGCAGACTTGGCAAAACACCCAGAAACTTCACTGGAAGAACAGTTGGTGGCTTAAGTCATTCATTCATAGCCTACCTTGTCTGAGAAGAGTCGTTCCATCAGCTCGCTGCAGGAGCTGGATGTGTTGAAGGGAATGGAGGGGTTTTTATTTCACTCACTGGCTTCTGGGACCAAGTCCTTGATGGAAATTTTGTATCATATTCCTCGGAGGAAGAACAGCCCTGCTTGGAATGGCAACAAAACAACAGTCACTAGCTCCATCATTTCTCGGGAAATTGTGTCAGCATCGCAATTATCATGTGTGTTTTCCAGATGGAAACTGGAGTGGGATTTACTAACTCCTGGAAAGTGTGTGACACTTTTTGTTTCTTTAGAAGTAGGAATGATCTGCCCCAGGCAACACAACACACAGAGGCCAGGGCAGAGGCGGAAACAACCCCCAGGGCTCATGGCTTCCCGATGCTCAAAGTCTGGCCCCACTCTTGTCCTAGAGCCATGCTGAAAACCCAGGAGGTCCCACCTGCTCTAACCACTACACCCCACTCCCCTGCCAGAGTCCCTGCCCCCCGGCACCAACCTCCTGCCATGACTCCTGCACAGCCCACTCCCGGTCATGATCCTGATCACTCTCCCAATCTCCTGCCAAGCCCCCCTCCCACCTCTCAGCCCCCTGCCCTGACTCCTGCACTGTGGCCGAGGGCCGGGGGGAGTTGAGGTAAGGGGGCAGGGTGGAGAGCCTCATCTGCAGCTGGCCACTGTTTTCTTGCAGCAACTGCCCCCAAGGGTCGCTCTGCAGTGTCGCTGCTCCCAGTGGTGAGTCCATGATATGGCACCTCCTCTCTGTGCCCCTCCTTTGCCATGTTTTGGAAACCCATCCCATTCCAGGCACTTCCCATTGTCCTGATGCAACCAACCCCTGACCTTGGTTTAAGTTACGGTGAGAGGAAGCTGCCTCCCACAATTGGTGGCCCTCGCTCTTACTCATAGACTTTAAGGTCAGAAGGGACCATTATGATCATCTAGTCTGACCCCCTGCACAGTGCAGGCCACAGAATCTCAACCACCCCTCTTAGAATAATCCTCTCGCCTATATCTCAGATATTGAAGCCTTCAAATACTTTGAAGATCCCAAGATGCAGAGAATCCTCCAGCTGTGATCTGTACCCCATGCTACAGAAGAAGGCGAAAAACCTCCAGGGCCTCTGCCAATCTACCCTGGAGGAAAATTCCTTCCCGACCCCAAATATGGCGATCAGCTAAACTCTGTTTCTTGAACAAATGGACTCAGACACAGACACACAGACACACTTTAAGAGAGAGAGATTATAGGGTTATTCAAGGAAAGAGGGTGTATTGTTATGAAACTGCTGACCTAGAGCGACAGGGTTTACAACGGGTATTTATTATATAGAGGCAGGAAGATAGGTAGACAAGCAAACAGAGTTGTATTTGTCATGACCAGAATATAGAAATGTGTTTTATCATCCATCATATAGTCATATGGATATGTACCATACACAGATGCATCAGGTGGAGTATTCCCATACACGGATGGATCCTATTGTCGCTATATGAATCTTTAATACAACATTTATTTTACAGGTGTCATCTAAAATATTCCCTGAACTTCTCTGGCTCAAGAGTCAGCAGGTGAAATTTTCTGCCCTGTGTTAAGCTGTATAATCAGACTGGTCCCTTAGGGTATGTCTAGACTACACGCCTCTGGCGACAGAGGCATGTAGATTAAGCTACCTGGCATTTGAAATGACAGATTTTGAAGCTATGGAAAGAGGACACTACTTGGACTCAACAGACTTTCGACCTGGTCGAAAGATATTTAACATTTGGGTTATATTGGAACCAGAACTTTCTCATTTCCATTTTCCCAAAAGGCTTCCTGCAGGTCAAAGTCATTCAAAGGGTCACTGAGATTAAATCAAGAAAAAATGTATGAAATTCCCTCATGCCCCCTTGTTTTAACTAACTCTACTTTTCATTCCTCCTTCAACTGCGGGAAAATATGTTTTTCTCTACTGTTTTCCTGAAGGCTCCCTTCACCTCCTTGTTCCTCAGAGTGTATATTATGGGATTTGACAGCGGTGCCACAATTATGTCTATTAGCACAATCACTTGATCACTCTCTGGGCTGGAGCTAGACCCAAGCCCCATGTAGGTGATAAGGGCCAGTCCATAGAACAACGTCACCACCATGAGGTGGGAGGAGCAGGTGGAGAAGGCTTTACGCCTGCCCTCTGCTGACGGCAGCTGGATTATGGTGAAGATAATAAGGACATAGGACAGGATTATCAATAGAAAAGGGCCCAGGATGAAGAGAACTGACACAGTAAAGACCATGATCTCGTTTTTGGATGTGTCAGTGCAGGCCATCTTCAGCACGGGTGGGATGTCACAGAAGAAGTGGTGGATACGGTGGGATCCACAGAAGGGCAGGCTGAAGATCCACGTTGTCTGAGCAACTTCAACAGAGATGCCGATGAACCATGAAGCACCCATGAGCTGTGCACACGCCCGGCCACTCATGATGGTTGTGTAGTGCAAGGGGTGGCGGATAGCCACGTAGCGGTCATAGGCCATGGCTGCAAGGAGGCAGCATTCTGTGAGGCCTGTGATGGTGATGACGTACATCTGGGCTGCGCAGCCCGCAAAGGAGATGGTCTTTTTCTCCACCAGCAAGTGAACCAGCAGTTGAGGAATCACACTGGTGGTGAAGCAGATTCCCAAGAAGGACAGGTTGACCAGGAAGAAATACATGGGGGTGTGGAGGGAGGGGTTTAGCTTTATCAGGAGGATAACGAGCAGGTTTCCCAACAGTATGGCCAGGTAGAGGAACAGAAGCACCAGAAAAAGAAGGATTTGCAGCTTGTTAAGGTAGGAAAACCCCACCAGGATGAACCCATCGGAGATGGTCTGATTCTTGCCAGGATCGCTCTCAGAACTGGTCATCTGTAAGGGTGACAAAGAAAGAGACGATGGAGATGAATCTAGGAAATACCAAATATGAACATGTGAACCAATCTGTCCACACTGGTTTCCTGTCTGATCCTACCTGTCTGTCTAAAACCTGCTGGTAATTTTGCATATAAATAGGTACCTGTACCCAACCAACATCAAGTGCACACTGATGTAGCTGGCTGGATTCAATCACTCTTGGCCAAGGTCGAGCCGCTGGAGATATGACTATCTTGGAACTACCGTTGATTTAATAGAGATGGGGATCTGATGAACTGACTCTAAGAGCTTGTCCACACTATAGAGACGATCAAGGCTGCCGCAGTCGATCTTCCAGGGTTCGAATTAGCAAATCTAGTGAAGATATGGTAATTTGAACTGAGAGGGTGCAGATACTCCTGCTCCTCACGAAGAGGAAGGGAAGTGATGGGAATTTCTGCTCCCATAGACCTTCTAGTGTGTGAATGGCATCATAACGTGATTTAAAATATTTCGACTCCAGCTATGCAATTAATGTATCTGGAGTTGCTTGGTCCTGCCATGAGGGCAGGGAGATGGACTCGATAACCTCTCGAGGTCCCTTCCAGTTCAAGTGCTCTATGATTCTATGATCTTAAGTTGACTTTCCTCTTGAGTGTAGACCAGGACTAAGGGAATTGCTTCAGCTTACACCAACTGTAGAGATGAACCAGTTTCCTATATCAAGAGTTGTATTCTTCCTCTTCAAACACATTTTCCTTCTGTCTACATGAAAATTCTAAAAGGAATCTATCTATTTATCTACTCCCTCCCTTCCTGCCTCTCTCCCGTAATGTTAATCTATAGCCATATTTGCCAAATACAATTTCTTGAAGGAGGGCAAATTCTGCCGTCATTTGAATGTTACACCCCACCAATGAAAGTTTTCCCACGATAGCAACAACTCACATAAGTGAGCTCACACTGCTGAGCCCATGTTTGAAGCCCCTTGATGAATGAGAAGAATGATAAATATTGAAAACAATGAGGGATTTGGGGTCTTTTGCAAACTATTAAATGTTATTCTTCCCTAAATATTAGAGAACCTTTTACATCATCCCACCCTCTATCATAGAACTGGTTTCTCTCAAGATATGAACACAAAAAAGATGTAGAGCTAGAAGGTGTAAATCTTAACAGTTCAATAGGTATATAAAAAAGCCTTCCTGGTTTACACTGTTTCCAGGTATTTCTCTATAGAGAATTCTACAGCAAGCAAGATCATACAACACAAGAGACATTTTCCACAAAGGTTTTACCTCAAGGTCATTTGCCGAGGAAGAATTTCATAACAACAGGCACGACAGTGAAGTGACAGAGTTGAAACAAAAAATCAGCAACAAATAATACTGTAATTTGCACAACTTTAGCACCTTCAGTATGGGTCTCCCCATGCAAAGTGCCAAATAATAGTGAGCTACTGAATGGGAAAATAGGAGTGGAAGAGTGAAAATATATATGAAGTCAGCATTTCCAGATGTGGAAACGGAGATCGCCTGTTATCTGAAACACTGCCATAACGAAAAGGGTATTTTTCCTGTTAATGAAATACACGAACACACATTCCAATAGAATCAAAACAAGAAAACTAAATGAAACAGCCAAAAAGCAAACTCTAGTGATGCATAGAACAATTTTAACCAAAAGTGGGTTATGTGGAGAAATTGTAGAAGGTCCAGAGAAGAACAACACAAATGATGAAAGATCTAGAAGACATGACTGGTGAGGGAAGACTGAAGGAATTGGGCTTGTTTAGTTTGGAAAGGAGAAGACTGAGAGGGGCATTATAGCAGTTTTCAAGTACCTTAAAGGGTGTAGGAGGAAGGAGAAAACTGATTCTCCTTGACCTCTGATGACAGGACAAGAAGCAATGGGCTTAAATTGGATCAAGAGAGGTTCAAGTTGGACATTAGGAGAAACTTCCTACCTGTCCGGGTGGTTAAACACTGGAATAAATTGCCTAGGGAGGTTGTGGAATCTCCATCACTGGAGATATTTAAGAGCAGGTAAGATAGACACCTGTCTGGGATGATCTAGATGGTGCTTGGTGCTGCCGTGAGAGCAGAGGACTGGACTCGATGACCTCTCAAGGTCCCTTCCAATTCTAGTATTCCATGATTCTATGTGCGCTAACTACAGCAGAGGGGGTGTGAATTCTTCTGCCTCTCTGAAGAGCTCCTTTCAGCACCCTTTACTGACATTTGTGAGCACTTTCCTCAATGCGACTAGTGAAGTGAATGCAGAGCTGGCTGGGAAATGGGATTTCCATTTCCCGGGACAGTCACACGTTCCATTATCTGTTTCCACCCTGAATCCCTGGGCAAAGTGGAAACAGGGAACAGCCCTCATTTTGATTCAGTAGAATCAATATAAAATCGACTGGAAAAGTGAAAGCTGCCATCAGCATCCATGTTCTCTTATGGGAAATATTCATATTTTTTCTGAATGTATTTTGGTTTATTTCTTTATCCGTTGGCTGACATTTCAACCAGCTCTGAATAAATGGAGAAATTTACTCACCATTAGGAAGTGATGACCGTCTTGACTGTTGTTGTGGGCAGTCCGGGGATATTTTCAGAGCTCTTCAAAGCCTCAGGATACTCTATTTATGAACAGGAGTAGGTGACAGGAAGTTAAAAAGCACACATTCTATGGAGAGCTGAGGTAAATTCAGGTAAAAGAGACAACATTTAACGCTTGGAGCAGAGAATGTGCCTTGGTCAGATGGTAGGAGTGGACACTCTTATTACAAAAGATCAGACTGAGCACACCCAGCTGACTGTGTTTGGGTCCAAATACAGGACCCATCTCAAGAAACAACATTTCCACTCAGATTCAACAGATGAGGAGGACGGTTGGGGAATGGGGGTGGGAGTAAAGATGAGAGACGAGAGAAGCAAGAAACACAAACACCACCACCACAAGGAAAATAACAAAAACAGAAACATCTCATGGTGATAAGCACCATGCTAATTGCTTTTCTGTCCTGCTGGGGGGCACCATGGAATTATGGGAACTAAACTTCCCCTAGAGTAAATTAGCAAAAGACACCCAAAGTCAAGCTCTTGACCTGAAACCATGATTGTTACTTGACTTGAATTGAGAGCAAGAGTTTCAGAGTCCAAGAGATCAAATGATATACTAATGGGCAGGTTTGCCAAGTGGCTCAGACAGATAGACAGAAACAGAGATGGTGTATGGATAGATAGATAGATAGATAGATAGATAGATAGATAGATAGATAGATAGATAGATAGATAGATAGATAGATAGATAGATAGAGGGGATGCGTGGGGATAGATAGATAGATAGATAGATAGATAGATAGATAGATAGATAGATAGATAGATAGATAGATAGATAGATAGATAGATAGATAATCTATCTATCTATCTATCTATCTATCTATCTATCTATCTATCTATCTAAGGGGATGCGTGGGGATAAATAGCCAGAGAGTTGTGAGTACACACAGCCCATGACTTCAGACACACACTCGGGTTATCTGTGCAAGTATGGAAAAGTCAGATGAAGGAACCATCAGTGTGACCTGGCTCCCTTTGGAGATGAAGGCCCGACGCTGATGGACGTCAGTGGCAGAACGGCTGGGGGGTTTCGTAGCTCATCCGTGGCCTAGCTTGTTTGAGAAGAGCGGCTCCATCTCCTCGCTGCAGGTGCTGGATGTGCTGCAGGGAGCAGAAGGGTTTTTATTGCAATCAAGGCCTTCTGGGACCTAGTCCTTGCAGGAAGCTTCTCAGAGGAAGAAGCACGTGGACTGAAACGGCAACAAAACCCAATTCACCAGGGTCCGTCATTTCACAGGGAGTTGTTCCACCAGCAAAACCCTCATGTGTGTTTTCAGGAAGAAAATCGTGAAGGGATTCACTGACTGTGGCAACCTGAATGGCATTCCTTTTTCAGGGAGGAGGAATAATTGGCCCAAGACAACACAACACGCAGAGGGTATGTCTACACTTGCACTCTATTTTGATATAGGGATGCAAATGAAGACATTCGAAATTGCAAATGAAGCTGGGATTTAAATATCCCACATTTCATTTGCATATTCACGTTATGGCGCTATTTTGAAATAAAACGTACTGTGTAGACACGTTATTTCGAGAGAAAATTCTTCTCTCAAAATAACCCTTATTCCTCATAAAAAGGTTTCACAGTAATGGGAACCCAGGAGCTCTGACTCCCAGCCCCACCTGCTCTAACCATTACACCCCACTGTCCTGCCAGAGCTGGGCACAGATTCTCAGACGCCCCTGCCCCACACACAGGGCCCTTTTTCTCCTTACGTGGAACTCACAGGCGCTGGGCTGGGAGGGCTCTGTGAGACGGTCTCAGGCAGGTAGATCCCAATGCCCCTGCTCAGCAGCAGGGGGCGCTTGGCGCCAAGGGGTGCTTAGCAACAGGGAACAGGGTGTGTCACTCATTCGTGGACATTTTTCTCTGGGGGGGTGTCACTGACCCCAAGGGGTGACACGTTGCGCAGAGCTGGGGGGAGGGTGTTTCTGGAGGGTGCTGTTCTCTCTGGCCCGCAAGGAGCAAGGTGGGGGACTTGGCTGTGGGTTACATGTTGAATCACAGAACACTAGAACTGGAAGGGACCTCAAGAGGCCATCAATTCCCTGCCCTCCCGGCAGGACCAAACACTGTCTAGACCATCCCTGGCACCTGCCAGGTGTCTGTCCAACCTGCTCTTCGATATCTCCAGAGATGGAGATACCACAACCTCCCTGGGCAATTTATTCCAGTGTTTCACCACCCTGACAGGCAGGAAGTTTTTCCTCATGTCCAACCTCAACCTCCCTTGCTGCAGTTTAAGCCCATTGCTTCTTGTCCTGTCCTCAGAGGCCAAGGAGAACAATTTTTCTCCCTCCTCCTTGTAACACCTTTTTAGATACTTGAAAACCACTCTCATGTCCCCTCTCTTTCTTCTCTTTTCCAAACTAAACAAACCCATTTATTTCAGTCTACCCTCACTGCTCATGTCTTCTAGACCTTTAATCATTTTTGTCGCTTTTCTCTGGACCTTCCTCCACATCTTTCTTGAAATGTGCTGCCCAGAAAAGGACTAAATACTCCAATTAGGCTCTATTCAGTGCAGAGTAGAGCGGAAGAATGACTTCTCATGTCTTGCTCACAACACTCCTGTTAATGCTACCCAGAATCATGTTTGCTCTCAGGATCTGACTGGTGCCAAACTAGAAAATTTGCCAGACCACGGGAAGCAAATCTAGCAGCATTACCAATTTTTCCACTGGTTACTGGGCTCTGAGAAGACATTGAGAGGTCAATCAGAGCTAAATAAAAGCACAGAACACTGAGAGCCAAGAGTGGTGGCTGTAAACAAACTTTATGGGGCCGCAGGAAATGTGGCCACACCCATTCTCAGTGGATATCTGGTTAATTAAACTAATGCTGGACTATGGATGTGTCCAGACCAGATTGTGCTGGATTAGAAAGGTTCAACCTGTGTTAGCATCTACCTCAATTAGTTACCGTGGCTTTCTTGAAGCCAGACGTCTGCTGATGTCCCTGGGACTCTGTCTGCCAGATACATCATAGCTAGATGATTGTGACAGGGTTATGAGATCATTATGATGCGTATTGTAAGGTATGTCTTGTAAGGTGTCTATAAAAAGTTGTGATTTGCTGGACATGACTGTCCTAGTTGTAGCTATGTCTCAGTTTTGCACCTGATCTTGTGAGTATCAATGATGGGTGTGTATTTCTAGAGTGCTCACTCCGTGTTACACCCCCAGCCAACTTTTTATGCTCAGTAATGAAGAAACTAGACAGTGCTGATGGCCGATGAACAGAGAGGGGGTTTGAGATAGCAGCCTTCAACTACCTGAAAGGGAGTTGCAAAGAGGGTGGAGGGGGGCTATTCTCAGGGGTGGTAGATGGCAGAACAAGGAACAATGGTCTCAATTTGCTGTGGGGGAGGTCTAGCTTGGATATTAAGAAAAACTCTTTC